ACCGTGTCTCTCCCACAGAAGCACGCACCGGGACGTGCCATCGAACAGACCAGTCCATCCCTGCCTCTTTGTGCTGCGGAAGCGGTCGCCTAGCAACCGGTCACACCAGCTGTCTTAGCAGGATGGGAAATGAATGTGCTGCAAGATCGGGGTGGAGAGGCAGAGCCTCACTTTGCCACAGGAAATGCACCAGCACCAGTACCGGCTGGGGACAAAGACCCCACCCTGAAATGCGACCGTAAATGCTGCATTAAATCGCCATTATGCATAATAAATGCATAAGTCTTTCTGAAGCATTGCATTCAGTAAAGAATGCAGGACACCTAAAATCACAAAAATCATCCATCACCCACACACCCATTTTCAATCCCAATATATTCTCATATACTAGGGAGCATTCTGAAGTGATTAATGACCTGCGATGCACCAGAAAACCCCTGTGATCTCAAGAAAAACACACAAACCCACAGCCCTACTGGCGTCAGCCTCCCTCGAGTCACCCTGACACTCTAAGGCTATAAGAATAAATGTCACTTTCCCCTCAAAAACCAACACTAAGGCAACAAGACCTCAGACCGCCAACACGAAGCAGAACATGGGTTTGAACACCAAACCCATCGGCATCGGTGGTCCCAGCAGCAATGTTCTTAAAATGTTCCGCTATTGCTTATGCTTATCCACTTATGCTTGTGGAGCTTGCAGGTTCTCCCCATGTTGCCCAGGTTTCCTCAAAAGACAATGGTCCTCAATGGTCATATCTAGATTGCCTATAGCGTACGACTAAGCGTGTGTCTGCCTTGTGATGGACTGGAATCTAATCCAGGATAAACCCAGGCCCTGGGCTCTGTGCTGCCTGCCCAGGATAAGTGTTCAGAAGATGGATGGATGGATGGATGGATGGAGGCACACGCAGAGGTTATTTGTAGGTGTCGACAAGGACCTCCTCTCTTCACCGTGCTGGATGAGGTGGCTCTCAATGTCTCCTCAGCCTTTGTACCTATAGAAAATCCTGGAAATGGCCCCGCCCCCCACCAGCCCAGGCACATACAAATTACAAACACCCCCCCCCTCACCTCAGGGTTCACGGCTGTGTTTTGCTGACCACAACAAAGAAAAAAATGCACGGCCATGCCCTACCCTGGACCCCGCCCCAGCAAATCAGTTTATCCATCAAAGGGTCGGCCTCGTTTGACGACGGCGGCCTGGGGAGGGTTCCCCGATGTTGGGCTTTATCAGAGCGTGCCAGACCCGGGGATTAGATTGCGCTGGACCGTGTCGGGGCGAGGGTGTGGTCAGCCACCGCCCGGCCCCCCCGTTGTCTCGGGGTAGTCAGCTTTTAGCAAACACCAGCCACAAGAAAGGGCAAGAGTGCATGGCTTTCATTTCCTTAGAGGAAATCTACTCTCAGCATCCCCCCCCCCTCGCTCCCCAGCTCCATGTGGAGCTTCCGTGGGGTATTATTGGACTCAGACAGCACATGGCCTGGCAACAGCCACGCTCCCAGTCCTGCTTTCTCCCAGTTTCCCTTAATGCGGCACTGCGAACCGTGTTTCCATAACAACATCCACGACTCCCTACTAATCCGACTCTGGCTCCCACCTTTGTGGAGAACCAACAAGGAAATGCCAGGTATTTTTTCTGTCACCCCTACTTATCACTATCAACTGCACATTTTTTTATATGAAAATCTTGTATATACATACATTATAGTACAATTTAAAAAGGCCAAATATTAAAACAAAAGAAAGAGCTGAATGAGTGAGGTATATTGCGTACCAAAAGCAGAAGCTTCCACAGCAATGCGGATCCTGAGTTAATTAAGTAATTACCTTCCCATCATGCCTAGGGACGTCTAGAACAACAGCGGGCGGGTCTAACTAGATATTACTTTGACATCTATGCCTAGAATCTCAGCCTAGACACGGCGAGGAGTGATTACTAGATCAGACTTGGCCGGTACGTCAGTGATGAAGGGTCTTCTACCTGCTGATGTTTCATGAGGACATGAGAACATCGCCATAAAAGTCTGATGGAAAGAAAGACATTGGCTAGAGGAAACCACAGAGGGAAGGTGATCCTTTGTTTCTTCATGCCACTCTAAGGCATCAGCAGGCATCTAGAGCCCATTGAATGCTGCGGCGAGACTCTGTCTTGATGTGGAGCAGTGGGAGGGGGGCATCCAGATGGTGACTCAGCTTAGGAAGGCCTTGTAAAACAACCCTCAGCTCAGCCACATCTGAGGCTGTCAATTCCCCCACAAAAGCCTCCTCACAATTGACTCGAGACCGAAAGTTCACAGGGCTCAGTGACTGAATGCTTCGGTACAGCTATTTGCACAAAGTCGTTCTGCCAGAAATATCTACCCGTATCGAGGAATAAAAACGTCAAGGTATTCCAGCTAGCAGTACCAGTCGAAGCACATGTAGCACCCTAGGTATGGTTCACCACTAGCGCCCCCTGTCTGAGAAAAAGAGAAATTGGCTTGCTAAGTAAGCGCCCCCTTAGAAAGTGGCACCTTATGTCACCTAATGGGGTGACCGGCATTGCTAGTTATGGATAATACCGCTTGTATAGTTCTTTAATACATCAAGCAAATGCACATAATTCTATTTTATACTGTTTGCAGGCTGTATATGAGTCCCGTAACCTGCAGGGCCCACTGTGTCAGTCCACCCAAGCATTTCATCCCAAATCAGTACTTGAGAGCCATCAGTATTTGTCACCTGGTCCCATCACTCAAGGACGCCTTAACATGCTTAAAACCTGTACACCACCTGTCAGGGCCTCTAATGACGGGCACCTGAATGAACGGTTGAGGTCACGGATCAGTGAAGCCTCTTTAAACACACCAACCTGTGTCTGAGTGGCCCGAGAAAAATGCCCCAAAAAGACGAGCCGCTTTTCAAATGGCCAATAACACGTTTGTTTGTGCGATGGGCGCACTGACCCGAAGCAGCTTTAACAGCTTACGCAACTCTGCATTTACCGAAGCGATTCAGGCTAAGTACCGAGGCTGATGGAGGTGCCAGCTATGACCCTCTTGGGTTTTCAGCATTTTATTCATCCAGTTGAGTCCCTTATAACTGATGAAAAAATACCAAACTCACGATTCACTCTTGAGTCCAGCTTCAACGTATATGTAGAACAGCAAAGTGGGACAACAAGATGTGTCCTATTTCGGGCTACAGTCGTACCTCTGCGGTTTCTGGAAGTGCCACAGGCCTGGCGTCCACCTCCAGCTACTTAAATGGTGACCTCTGGGATACTACTGTAAACCTTACAAATCATAACTGTAATACGGTGGCTCCTGAGATTATGAGAGCATCAGAAATATGAGTCTGCCTATTATTTACATTTATGTTTTTGCAGACATTTTTATCCAAAGTGACATTCAGGGTCAGTGACTCCCTAAAGTAACCTTGGGTTAGGGGCCTTGCTCAAGGGCCAAAATGTGAATTTACTCTGCCAATCCTGGGATTTAAACCGGCACTAACCCTAATCCTAACCCTAACCCTAACCCTATCACGGTGCTTCTCAGAAGGTTCCTTCAGCAAAATATGAAGACAGCATAACATCTCTGCAATGTCACGGGCCTCAAGCAGCCGACACTTGTTGGGACGTCTGATTTTCCAGAAGCATGATGACTCCTGGTCCTGATTTGTCAATTTAGTCTGAAGGTCGCTCGGAGACAGCTGGCGGTCGGGGGGGCCCAAAGTTCCCCGCTTTGCCGCACCCTGACAGCTGCTGACGCTAAGCGGAGACCCCGGCGGGTGCCAAGCGGTGCCAACCGTGTCTGCAGCTGTCGACCATGTGACCACACCCCCACGCCACCCAAAAAAGGGCACCACCTACAGACATCGACCAAGGCTGCTTCCAATCCTGTCTAGAGGTGATATCCTGGCAGCACAGCCTACCCATTACCAACACAGCCTAAGCAGATCCCGGGAGACACAATAAAGAATCTTATCTTCCATTTGTACAGGCGGACCAGGTTGGGTAATTCCTGTGCAGGGATCATTCAACTGGCTCATGACATACAGATAACATCACAAACACGAGCATCATGGACTTGGACAAGAGCAGGGCATGTCTGTATGCTCAGTAAAGAAAATATATTGTATATGTGTATCAAGAGATAAAAAAAAAAAATGGTGCTGAAATGTGCGATTTAATAAAGTGTGTTAAACTGTCAGAGGCCATGATTGCCACCATATCTAATTAGTTTTTACTGCAAGGACAAATCACTGTGTTGTGTACATATAAATCAGCATTTCCATAGTTGTCAAATAAATGTGTGCCCTGCAAAATGATTCCCATGATTATCTCTATGGATGCAGTTGCAACCAACTTGACAAATTCTCAGGAACGTCGTTATTGTCACTTGATGCCGTGTACTCCACTCAGGTCCTGCCTTACGACTTTGTTTACATGCCTACTGTGTATAGGTGGATTTTGCCTGAAACTGGACAGTAATCTTCAAAGCTGTGCACACTTTCTGGACTGACTGAAGATGTAGAAAGAAACAGGCGTGGTGATTGGCCATATGGCCATAGAAATGTGTACCCATGAACCTCAAACAGAGTCCATGTCTTTCCATTTACCAGAGGTGGATAGTTCAGGTCCTGAAAGTACAAAGCCAGACCAAGATTTTGTTTGTTTGATTTTGTCTAGATTTGTATTTTCTGAACTCGAACTACCCACCTCTGCTATATACACCTGTCCAATAACATCAATAAATTGGGTAGTTTCATATTGACCTACAACTTTGCAGATGGTTTTAACAAGTTTAGGGGAATTGTACTGGGAAGAATCTACTTAGATCAGTGTTTCTCAAAGCAGTCCGCAGGGATCTCCAGACAGTCCGCGTTTTTGTTCCCTTCCAACTCACAGGGAATTGGGAGATAGCAAAAACGTGGACCGTCTGGGGTTCCCCGAGGACTGGTTTGAGAAACACTGACTTAGTGTGAGGCAACTCAGGACAGATTGGGTTCCTACTCTACCTGCTTGCCGTCCAGAGTGTAGATCCTCTTGACGACGCCACTCTCCAGCTTAATGGCCTCGGTGATGTCGTTGAGCACCTGCTCGAAGGAGTGCGCCGTCTTCTTGTTCAGCAGCACGCGCACGGCCTTGCGTGGCTTCACGCCGCTACGCATGATCGTCACCAGCTTGGGCCGCACAAATTCCTTGCTCTCCTTTAAGTCGCTATTGCTCTTGGAGCTGGTCATCGACTGCAGGTTCTTCTGGCTGGCGGAGGCCTTGACGTTGACGGACCAGTTGGGATTGACGTTCTTGGTGTAGTCCACCTTCTTGTAGAAGTTCTCGGAGGCACAGACGTAGCTCTCACCTACGAATTGAAACAGCAGAAGTTGCAATATTGAACACAGTATTGAATACCAAAAACTACCGTGGTCCTGAAAATACCAAACATTCTCATCCTCCATAACCAGATGAAGTCTGTTGTGCTTTCAGCCAAGTTCTCCAAAGGGGCCTCAGTAGAAAAAAGATAATTACCTGACAAGTCCTGGCATATCAGTCTGTACACCAGCAGAGGTGGAAATATCAAGTCCAGAAAGTAAAAATCCAGACCAAGATTTTGTTTCAACCAAGCAGTTGAGTACTCTGTGTCTATGACTCTTTATACTCAACTAATTTGTTGAACCAAAATCTGGATTTTTACTTTCTGGACCTGAACCTTCCACCTCTCTACTCCAGTACACCAGGCCCATCCCCTATCTGCTGACCACATTTTGGAGTGACAGGTAGAGATCCTGTAGGTTTGGTGCGGGGAGCAGAAATGTGCAAAAAATATACCAAACCAAGCTAACAAGAATTATAAAGGGTAGCACACCTAACACGAATTTCCCATCAAGTCCAAGCCCCACCTCTCCAGCTCCTTCCCAGGTGGGGTTTGGGTCACCAAGCTCAGAGAACACTGTGTCCCCTTTAATGGACATGTCCTGTATACCTGGACGACACAATGGCAAGTTGGGAACCTCATTAGCAGTCACTAATTAGGACGCCAAGCTCCTGCTGTAGAGATTCAGCCACGTTTGTCTGCCTGCGCTGACAAGCCCCGGTTGGTCTTTCCATGTTCATTACACGAGGTCTCCTCGCCCGTGCTGACCTACTAAGCCGGTATTACAGAGAACCTCACTTATATCGACATTTACATTCAGCCGCTTAACTGCTCTCATCTAAAGCCATGTGATACAGCCCAATATTTTACTGGAGCAATTCAGGTCAGATACCTGCCCAAGGGTACCTCAGTAGGGCGCCTCCAGAGACTTGCAGCAACTACCTTAAATGCTCCAAATGACACATGGCAGAGTTTATTTTTAACCATCACCAGCTCAATAAAAGCCAACTAGCTCTCAAGAGGTGTAGGCACAAACAGGTTGTTTTACAGGAGATAATCCTTAAGACAACAGCTCTACTTAACTCTGCCAGCTGAAGACCAGGTTTTATTTTTGCATGGTGTGTGGGTTTGGCCCTGATGCAAAGTGAGATAAGTTCAAGACAGCGCCAATGATCAAGAATAAACGACATACCAAACGAACTCAAAAATGCTACTCAAACAGCCACAGAGCACATTCATCATCGTATCATTAGACAAAAACTCTGTTACTGGCAAGAAAGACGATTTATGCGGAGCAGACTAAGACGACATGTTTTGAAAAGAGCTCGAGTGTAACTGAGGTGCCTTGAATATCAGCGCATCATGGGTGGAGAATTGTGATGGCGCTCCCAGCTGCATCACTGAACCATCACTCAGGTAGGATGCTCCTCACAGAGTTACAGGAGAAAAGGTGACATCTGGGTTTTTTGCTTAACATTACAAACCATATTTCAGTTATTTGAAATGAACACCTTTTCTCCTCACAATGTACAAACGCTATATTTGTTTTTCCTAACACCTCCCAGAGATGTGAAATGTTCCTGGAGGTTTATATCACGCACGTTTCCTCAATACAAAATGACTGCAAGATGCTGTTCTGGCACAAACAGAGAAGGGTGGGAATTGCACACAAGTCTAGGAGTGGATCGAGCTCCACGCAGGAGATCAAGAAGAGCAGACTGAGAAAGCCGAGCCCAGGTTCAGCTACATAATATGATGTCAACAGTGTTGGACATTTCAGGTCCAGAAGCTACAAGTCCAGACCAAGATTTTGTTTCTGCCAACCAGTTGAGCATAAAAGTCGCAGTTACAGCCATAATAAATCATGACTGTGCCCCGAGTAACTTAGCTCTAAATGACTGAACTGGACCTGCATGACTGCTGGGCCTCACTGATCGATCTGCACCCCAGGTCTTTCGGACCGCTGCAGGAAGTAGCTATGGAAGCTATGTTCCGTTTGTCCTCCATTCCCCCCGACTCTCTCTCACCACTCCCACACTCCTTCCATCAATTTCCAGCTTCCCGTGACCCGAGGTGTCAGAGGCAGAATAACGCAGGGAGTATTAATCAACTCCGCCCTTCGCGTGCCGCAGCAACGGCGTAGCAAGACGTTATAATGGAGTACTGAGTTAATTAATCACCGAGAAGAGGTTGAACAGTTGGGTTGTTGAACCCTACGATTCTCACACTGTGACCTTCCCCCACTGCCTTTTCTTGGTCGCTAAGACTCCCCCTTGGTGCTCAAATGGAGGACAGCATCATGTAAATGTCACAAAGCAGGGACAACGGTTTTCTCGTCCATCCCCTTCACCCCCGAGCGGTCGTCCTTGCAATTCTTCTGAAAAGGGCTCTTGACCCACACTAATCCATTCTTGTGTTTTCATGCATCAGAGCAAATGATGATCTGATAGGATGGGGTGGAGGGTGGGGGGGGGGGGGGGGTGATGGGCACGAGGCTCAATTAAGACGGGTGCTGTGGGTAATTGAAAAAACACCGGTGGGGGGGACAGATGGTATAGCGGGGAGGCTGAGCAAACATGGGCAGGGGGGTCAAACAAGTGAGGAGGAAGAATTGAATTAGAGGCTTGAAGAGAGGTATCAAAGTGCCATCCCAATTGGGGGGGGGGGCACTTTGTCTCTGAAGGGACAGCAACCAGGCTGGGGATAATCCAGCCATCTCACTGCATCCCGTTCTCCACAAGCCCCAGTTTTTTCATCCTTTCTTCTGTCCTTTTCTCGTTTCTGATCTTATCCCCCTCTTAATACCCATTTCTTATCAATTTTTGTCCAACCATGCCTCCCATCAGCTGGACCTATGAAACAATACCTCAAAACCAGAGCAGCTGATGAAAGATGATATCAGCAGGGCAGGGGGTTAAGGACTCGGACCTAGCCGAGGGGTGAAAGAGTACATGCATCATTCTTGTTATCCATCAAATAAAATTTTATTAAAGTCACACCAGCAAGGACAGCGGTAGGCCGGGTTGGTGTCTGATCATCAAGGGAATTATCACCTTTTCATTATCCTGGGCTAATCAAACCATCATGAAAGCAATCATCCCCTCTGCGTCGGAGCCTTGGGCACAAAGGCACTAGGATTCTCCAGAGCATTCAAAGTATGCACGTCACGCCAGAAGCATGCTGATGGAGCCCGACTCAGCAGTGACCACCAGGGCGGCGATCCACAGATTGGCCGGGATGATGCATGAGACCGGCGGCACCAGGACCAGCTGCCCCAGGCCGGGTCGGGAAGTTGCCAGGTTTTGCACAGCCCTCTCATCGCATATGGCCAGGTACCCGAAGGTACCCTATGGGATATCAAAGCACCATAAAGTAGGACAAGAGCCCCAAAGGAGGGCATCAACTCGAATGACACCACCTGTATCCTGCAGACATAGTGAGTGGGGTTGAGGCACTGTTTACATAGCACGGGGAGACACCTGATACCAGAGAAGCCGTCCCATCGAGATGCCGGAGGCAGCCAGATCACGTGTTGCTGTTCCCGCAGCCGATTAAGGGACTGGGTGCCGACTTCACCGCCAGCTGTGCTTTCTAAAACCATCCAGTGCTCATTCTGGGCCCACGCCAGATTATCTCCAGTCGCTGGGTGGCAGAAATGTAGCAGCTGAACAGCTGGCTGGCCTCAACGCGGCCAGGAGGCTCAGATAACCGCACGGCATCGCTCTGCAAGTCACCTCTCGCATGCCGTAGATGGCAAAAAGGTGGAGCGCACGACAGACCCACACAGAAAATCCGGCAGTTCTATTACGAATTCCCAATAAGATTATATTTTGGCTGCATTTACACAGCTTGAGCTTGTCTGCAGGCTAAGGGCCTTCAGAGGCCCCAGGTCTGATGAAATGCCTCGTCTGAGATGCTGCTGTTTGGCCTTCAAATACCCAATGAGGACCCCACCTGGCAAAAACCACCAGACCATCAAGGGCATCCAGAAACAGAGCATCTCTGACAGAATCCCGCAGGCAATCAAGGGAATTGCGGAGAACATAAACTATTGTTAGAAGCACCATCCTTTGCTGATGCCAACGAAAACCCTAAAGACCGAGTCAGAAGGAAGAACGTTCTGGAAGAACGAGGTCTGTATGGTGTCGACACGTGGTGATCAACTTCACGTTACTGAATAATAATATAAATCATAATTCTATAATGCTCAAACTAATCTTGAATGAGGAATCAGTACTATCAACACATATCAATAAATCAAATACTTCTTAGGCTCATCCACAAATTCTGATACAATCTAGACAAACAAACAAACAAATCAATAAATAAATAGATGGGGGTCACCCCAAGAGCTGGGGGCCCATAGACTAAGGCTAGGGCTTGAATCTTGTGGTCACAGGCAGAGAGGCTTAGCCCACTGAACCACTCCCCACGGTGACTGTTTACCTACTAATTTTTCCACTAAAAAAAAACAACACTGTGTAGTGTAAATTCTTAAATGTGGATTTAATCACTGTTTTCAGCCTACAGAGTAAAGGGCGAGGCCATAGGCAGTTTTCAGAAGAACAATACTGGAACAGAGATAGCTGGGGCAGCAGTTTTCTCAAACAAAGAGAGCATCTTTCTATCATCAGCTGAGAATAAAAAAAACATGGCTGGGTAGAGAATAAGGTAAGAGAGAAGTGGAGAAGACGAGTGAGGTGTGAGAATATCAAGGAGTGAGAGGCTTCCCTGTGGTCAGGCAGAGTGACCCGCTGGCTGTTTACACTCAGGTGGTGTTGGGCTGCTCTCTCACTCTAATCCTCGGCACTAGGGCCCGTCGGCGGCCAGCTGCTCCGGTGGCTGGTCCGACTCACGACTAAATCCACCGGCCTTTGTGCCGCTTAAAGGAAAGAGACCTGCTTACATTCAAGACCCTGTGAAGCCTAACAAACCCCCCCAACCCCGAGGTGACTTGGTGTGCTTGGCTTTGAGCACAGAGTAAACAGCATTTGATGCCAGCAAACCCATGATTGGCTGGCCTTAAATACCTCTGCAGGACGTTCAGAAATGCAGGCCGACATTCCGTTCATCACGATGCCACAGGGAGCCCCGCCCCAAGCAAATTGTGGGAGGATCACCACTCATATATACCCCCGCCCCATTTGACAAATTTTTACCATTGCCACTCTCCCCCTGGTACCAGTCCAAAGTATGGACACTCCAAGCTGCCTACAAAGGACAGTGATGTTGTCACATCACATGTCATGGCCACCTGACCAAAATAGAGTTTTACCAAAAAGTGGAGGAAAAGCAGCCAATGATCCTCCCATGTGCCACGCCCCCTTGTTAACCTCGTGTGGAATCCCTGTGTTTACCAGCTGTTTCTTGTTGCTGTCATTAGTCTTATGTATTTAAGTCTGCGTTAGGTATGTTTTCCCGAGTCCGGTCATTGAAGTCTGAAGTCTAACGTCTGTCCATGTGCCTTGCCTTGTTGTTTTCTACAATAAAACCTTAATTCCCCGATTCCTCATTTCCCTGCTCCCGCTTCCCCGGTCCGTACGTGACACTCAGCATATATGTGCGACCAGGAAATGCGGCCAATGAGTGTTCAGCATATATGTGTGGCCAGGAACTGAGGCCAATGAGTGCTAAGCATATATGTGGGACCTCCTTTAGGACAGCTGGAAAAGCATCCCAGGAGTTCACCTCATGAAACTGGCATACATGACACAGTAAGGTCAGCTAGTCCCTGGAGCAATTAGGGTTGACAGCCTGCTCAAGGGCCCAATGGTGGCATCACTCTGCCGACGCAGGGATTTGAACCAGCAACCTACTGACTCCCAACCCACAGAGCTGCCCACCACCCCAGCAAATTATTAATATTTTTGTTTAATACTTTTGTTTTGGTCAGTGCATCTTAGTTTTGATGTGAAACAAATGTTGGAGACCCCTGTCTTACATTAAAGCAAACCTGTTGCACTTTTGCATCATGACTGGACTGCCCATCAGGAGGCCCCCCCAAAAACCTCTGACGCAATTCGAACCCCACCCCGCTCACCTTCCTCCAGCTCGTCCATGGACATGATCTTGCGGGTGCCATCGATGGTAAAGATGAAGCGCACCCCCTGTGGCAGGTTGATGTGGTCGGAGAGGGAGCGAGTCAGGTCGGCGAGCAGTGCGTCGAAGGTGCGGAAGCGGTCGGTGGCCACTGCGTACACGATGCCCTTGAAGTAGCGGTCGCCGTTGCGGTAGAAGCGCACCTTCTTGGCCTTCTTCTCGTTGGAGAGCGCCTGCAGCGTGCGCGTCCGGTAGAAGCTGCAATGAGCGCTGTGCGTGGGGCTGGGCAGCCCGTTCATGCGGCCCCCCCGTGGGGTGCGGGAGGCCTTGTCCCGCTCGTCGAAGTGGCCGAAGTCCAGCTCCATGGCGATCGTGGTCCAGGAGGGGGTCCTGATGGTGGTGAGGAAGAGTAGTGCTGGTGAGTTCTGGAGGGATTGGAAAACCTGCCGGAGAGAAAGGGGAACTTCCTTAAAAGGAGCTTCAGACGGCCATTTCTTTTGTTTAAATACAAACAGGAACCTTCCCCTTGCATACCGGTTTCTGCAGCCTGCGGTACAGGTAAACTAGTCAGGTACAAGTGGACATTACGCTCAAATCCATAAGTCGGCTTGCCGACGCAATGACAACATCAAGAGGGTTCTTTGCATCACCCATGTGATTAAACACACGAAAAAAGGGTGGTGTGTGCCTCAGAGGGTATCCCTGTGCCTGCGATCAGAAGGTCGTCGGCTCAAATCCCAGAGTCGGCATCACACCCGATCTATCCCGGCTTTTAGTTGTACGCCGTTTTTGATAAAAGTGACTGCCAGATAAATAAAGAAATAGCAATGACTTGTTAGAATCTCAAAAAAAAAAAACAGTCAGGCCACAAACTGTGACGTCAGGCCATCAGACACGCGAAAGCCCCAAAACCTCCATGAGAGGCTCGAACGTTGAGCTTTCACTAATGAATCTGCCCAGAAGCAGCCTATTTCCTAACAGAACGCAGAAACAAAGAATCAGCTGAACTTCCAGTAGGTCACTTTGTATTGGAGACGTAAGCTCGGGATTTCACCAGGACCGGGGGCGGATTGTCCCCTGCTTGGCGACTGCCCTACATTAGCGGTACCCTTGAGAAACTTTCGTCTTGCTTTGTACGACTATTATTAAAACCATCCTCATTGGTCGGCTGTAGTACTTAAAGCAGGAGGCAGCCACTCTGAGCAGAAAATACTTATACACGGCAGAAGAACACAAGGTGTCCTAAACCTCTAAGATACTCCCTGAACAACAGACCAGCACTGATGGAGGCCATTAGGGGGACTCATTACAAGACATATGGACACATATCAGACACAAACTTCTTTCAGGGTCTTCTGGAGATAGTACATGTCACATGTGCACACAGGGTAACTTCTGTGCCTCTTCTGAAATAACTACAGTGAGAACCCCCTCCCCCCAAACACCCGACACGAATGTTTATCAACATCTGTTCCAAACCCCAAAGGAGCAGCCCAGACAACCTCCAGTCTGAGGACCATCTAACCAAACCCCTCTGAAGTACATTCAGAGATAAAATTAGTTGGTTAAAAAATAATTTATGATGTCATCTAGCAGGTTAGGATTCAGAAAAGTACACTGTGAATTCAAAAAGACACAATTTATTATATTGTGTAAGTAGAAAATAAATCTACATCCATGAATTTGCCTACAAAACTTAAATACCTCTTTGAAAATGTGTTATTTCATTTAAACCTGATGAGTGACACATTGATCATAACTATTTATGTGTATTGATGATTAAGGTGAATACATACAGTACCAGTCAAAGGTTTGGACACGCCAAGCTGCCTACAAAGGAAGTGATAGCGTGTTGCATCACATGACCGGACCACCTGACCTAAACCCAGTATAGATGGTTTTGGAGGAGTTTCACCAAAAAGTGAAGGAAAGGCGACCAATGAGAGCTCAGCATATATGTGGGACCTCCTTCAGGACGGCTGGAAAAGCATCCCAGGAGGCCACCTCATGAAACTGGCGTGGAGGAGACAGTAGGGTCAGTCAGTCCCTGGACCAATTGCGGTTAAGGGCCTTGCTCAAGGACCCAATGGTAGCATCGCTCTGCTGACTGTGGGATTTGAACCAGCAACCTTCTGAGTCCCAACCCACAGAGGTGCCCCCCCTGCCCTCCAGCAAATTATTTTGCTTTTGTTTAATACTTTTTTGGTCAGTGCATAATTCCATATATGTTATTTTATCGTTTTGATGTCTTTATAATTATTCTGAAATGCAGAGAATAGTAAAAAATAAACCTTTCTATGGGAAGATGTGTCCAAACTTTTGACTGGTATTGTAGCCCTATTCATGCCCCCACAACCAGACTGAAAAGCAGCTTATTCCCCACAGTGGTAAGAGCCCTTTCCCATAGCTCAGAGCGCACTGACTACAGATACTTCAACACGCTGGCATCGATTCTGTGTCGATTTTGCACTACCTAAAACATTACCTTTGTACATTGCATAATTCATATTTAGACATTTCTCTTATATATCTTGTGCAATCCATGTGTATATGTTTGCACCTATGTTGAGTGCGTATGCCTGTATGTGTTTTATTTATATGTTGTCTGCACTTTTGCATCTGTTTTTACTTGACTGCAGTACTGCTAACCAAATTTCTGCAGACAATGAAGATCCTATTCTATTCCTGTTCTGTAATTGTTGTGAATTGTTGTACCATTGCATAGAGTACTCAATTGCAGCCTTGTACTTGCAGTAACCCAGGGGCAATTCTAAGAATTGACCCTTTGGAGGGGGCTCAATTTGCTAAGCTGGGTCGAGGCTGTTCTATACTACAAATTTGTACTAAATGTGTACAAAGATACAGAAGTTAGAAATTCTTTTTCGAGGAAGGTAACACAAGAAGTGGGGTGCTTAGTGTCCCTCAAAATAGGGTCTACAGTCACCTACTGTATGCAGGAATCATTCGTTAAATGACGCTACAATGAGCCTCTGAGAGAGTAAATATTAGAATTCTGTTTGCCCTCTTGAGTACTGTAGGACTTCAGATAAGCGCAACCGCATAACAGAGACCTGGGATTTGTATTTTACACGTTCTGGTGGACAAAATTTGCATCCCAATTTGCATATCTAAAAGACAACAGAGCCTAAAAACACAACAGTCAAATTCAAAGTGGAGGGGTGGAAAAAAAAGCTGACTGCAAATCAAAATGAAAGACAGCCAGTCACACGTTTCCTGCTGTTTCTAACGTATCGGCATCGCGTCTGAAGTCAGAAATTCGCAAGGGCAGCGGTCAAAAGAAGGATATCAAGTCAAATCAAAGACATGTTTTGTCCTGCAAAGGCTTTTGATTGACTATCATCCGGCTGCAGAAATAGCTCTCCTCTGTGAGGACGGGGCAAGCACAGTAAGGATAGATTGTCTTTCTTTTGTTTGCTTTTGTTTCAAGACACTAAAGGGGTGCCCCCCTCCCACCCCATTCACAGCAAAAACTGTGTTAAGCGGTCAAAAAATACGACTATTTACTCCCCCCAAAGAAACATCTGCTGCTTTTAAACAAAAGCAGCTCTTTTCTCCCTTTTAAAACCCCATTGAGGGAAACACTATGCTCTGATATTTGTCTCATGGGGACAAAATGTCCATTGTCCAACTCCAGCCACGACGTATGTCCAGGCAGTTCGGACTGCGGTTTCGGAATCAAATACAGAATTTTCACTGGTGTTCCGCCAATTCAGACCAGGGGGTTTACGAGTTGATGTTGAGGTGCTGAGCATATTTGAATCTCTAAGAGTTGTAAAACTTTCATGTTACACAGGTATTGAGGTGGACCTGCTAAAATTTCAAAGCCAATCTTGTCTCTTTTACATCCAAATTACTTCTCAGAGTAAACAATTCCATCAATATGCCATGGACACCATTGTGATTGTTGGCCATTATCCTAAGGACATACGTTTTTTTGCTTTATGCGCTAAGTTTTGCACCAACAGGCGGGCTTTCTGCTGAAGAGACTGGAGACAATGTTAGCTGGAGAATCTATGCTGTTAGACGATTTAGGATCAGCAAGCCTTGCTGGCGACTGTCAGGATCGTTGTTAGCACAATCCCTCCGACTTCTTTGCCTTCCCCTCCAAACCCAAATGCTCCAGGAAAAGAGAAACGTCTGCAGAAGCAGCTTCTCTCCAGACCTAAGCGTCTCATGACAGCTGCCGCTAGCGAGCACCTTTACAGGTTAGCAAAGCGCTACCCCGCTAATTCAGCCACATTTTCCATCCAACTCCTGATCAATAACCCTCCGCCAGCCAGTTGCCTGGCCCGCCCAGGATATAATCGATATCAGGCCCTCATTACCTCCCAGCTACTGTTCCTGACAGCGGCACTGAAGACTGTGATTTTGTACACTTCTGGTCCAGGGATGAGGAAGCCTCTGTGAGGTCATTATATAACCATATGATTCATCAGAGGGCAAACACCAAATCTGTAACCCCCCCGCCCCCCACAGAGATAATTCCCCCATGTGTAGCATACCAAACGGTTGAACAAGAAATCCCAACCGCATAATCCCTCTTTGCGCCAACCGGCGAATGGTACCAGAACCCATGTGGGTTTCCCAGCATCCCCGGAGAGGAGTCACATGACCCCAGGACACACATGGCATGAATGGATCCCGCTGAGCTTTTGACATCGTGTGACGAATGCGATTTGACTCTAATGCTCGACGCAGGATCTGCATTAAATGCGATCCGTTAAAGACACTCCCGCGGGCACCAGCGGCAGCGTGGTACCAAGACGCAACTAAAAAAAAATTATCATTAAAAGAAAAACACCCAACCCAGCAGGTTAAAGGTGAGGAAACCCAAACAATGTTTCTGTGATCATTCCTTTCCTATTACTTTATTTACATAATTTTAACATCCGCTCTGGGATTTTTGATTTAAGCTGTGCTGGGTAACTGCAAATCCTCATAAAACCAGAGCAATCGATTCTCCTTCCAGCACTATGTACCTTATATATGGTTGTGACACAGAGTAAAGAATTACTTACCCCTAGTTAAACACCGACCTGGACTGGCTTTATTTAAGGCTCCAATAAATGGCCAATTCATTAGCACACACCCCCTGGCTAAGAGGAGACAGCTTTGTAATGTCCATTATCCCCTTTCAATAAAGCTTCTACAATTTATTTATGGTACTCAAGCCACAGACTACAGAAATTCTTAAGCCAGGATGTTAGCAAGTGATTAAGTCAGACTTATTTTTATAGCACGCTTGCGAGGACACTGACTTTACATACTTATGAACGCAACATTCACAAAACGGTCAACCTCCATTCAGGAGAACAAGACAAATCACTGAATGTTTAAGTCATTAAACTCCCTTCTACAGTTACGCTGAATGGCCAAAGTTCCCGGGAATAAAGAGGCACGGTGCCCAAAGACCAAGCGCACATACACTCCTGACATCAAGACCCCAATAATGTCTGTGAAGACCGTAGGACAGAGGCAGAGGATGGAACCCAGATGACTGTCACCACGGCGACGGATACAGCAGAAGGTGAAGCTACTGCAAATTATAGGTGGCAACTCAAACTGGCCAAATAAAACCTGGGCCAAAGTCCGACGGTACGGGGGGTGTCTTAGGCATTCGCCACTTATCTCAAATCTTCACCCCAGAGCCCGACTCAGTGGTCCCAAGCCAGCAGAATTCAGCCAATCCTCATCCTGATCCAGCTCCCACGAGCCAGCGAATCCACAGACAGGAACAAGGAACACTGAACTGGTGGGCTGTAATCAGGACTTGGGTCACAGAGAGGGGGATTGGGTCTTTCAGCTGGAGTTACAGAAGTAGTTAGATACCAGACCCAATTATACGCACTGACAGAACATACACCCACCCCACAGCCCAACCCAGCTGAGAGCCCCTATCTGTGGAGGTACAGGCTGAGCATTAAAGTCACCCCCCCCCCCCATCGCTCACGGGGTTTCCATCGCCCCCAGCTGGACAGAGGTGTTTTGAGCCCCCCCTTCGGAGATGCTAAGGTGCAGACCCCCCTCCCACACGCGCAGATGAGCAGCACCCCCAGCCCATCTGCTCCTGAAGAAGGAGAGGTAAATCAAGGACTCAGGCAGGTAGGGAGGAGGGTGATGTGGCTGGGGGTGGTGGTAGTGTGTGTGTGTGTGTGTGTGTGTGTGTGTGTGCGGGGGGGGGGCTTCCATTGTTTCAGCATAACTGATTTCTTGCGCATGAGGCATGCATAAGCAAGCAAAACGAACAAGCAAGGGATAAAACCCGACAAAGACCGTGTCAGCATCTACCACGAGGTAGGGAGCTCGCCCGTGTCACCCCGGACTCCGCCGCCTGCCGCAGAGGGGTCCGCTTCGCGGCGCACAATAGCCGCCGGTTCCTCCACACGCGGCGGCCGGCGAGCCGTCAAGCCGCAATCACGCCCCGCTCTCCCTCCCACAGCCCACCTCGCCTGTCAAACCATCCACGCCACGTTATGCCAACATATGCATGCTTTCGGAAAGAAAAGTTTGACAGCAAATACCAACTTGGACCTGAGCACCAAGGGAACTTAAGGCTCCTATATATAGGAAAGCGTCAGACGTCCTGCTTAAGTTAAGATCGCCCACTGCCAACCACCTGCTCATTGCCAGCCTATGTCTCCTGTATACATCGCGTTGCACAAAGTACGCTACAGCATGACACATGGTTTAAAAGCGCTGCAGCATTAACTCTCTCATTGATCACATCTTTTTCCACCCCCTTCAATAACTGCCTTTCTGTGTGGTTGCCTTGCCCGGTACTCACCAGGCTCGCCGCGGTCTTGATGGGTGGGTGTGGATGCTGCAGGAGAGCGAAAGCAGCCCTCAGCGCCTTTGTCTGAGCCTCGGTCCGCAAGCTCTGCCTCCCGGTCGCTGGCGCCCGCCCGGTCCTAAAGCCAGCACGTCCCGAACGCGCTGACTGAGCACACACGCCGCTTTCCATTAAAGTTGACGTCATGTTAATGTAGACTTTTATTAAATCCCATAACAGCGCCATAACAACAATAACAATAATAAAATAATATAATCCAGACCTTATATTTAATCATGGTGATATGTGTGTGACCGGTTATTGTTTTCAGAATTCTGAATCAAGAATGATTCAAACTTGGTTTATTGTTATATTTTGAAAGATTTACTCTGGAACATTTGCTCATAGGGGGAACAGCATTGGAGCTTACGTGGTCTGGGAATTTCAGAGTACGGATTTTAAATAGCGCCAGACGGTTAAAGCCAGGTGAACCGAATATTTATCAGATTGGTTCACTGGAGAGACAAAAACGTAATGGAAGGACGTGGCAAACCGAGAAACTCTAACGGAGGCAGGATTTAGGAAATTCTTAGCGGTAGTTAGAGGAGTTTCTAATTCAAACAATACAGAAGCGTTTTATTTAAATGTCTGAAAGAAATTATTCCTTTCAAATTCAATAGTACGATGTTAGTTTGGTGAAAGTGGAGGCTGGAAATTCGCGTTTCGTTTAATGTTATAATTATTATCTGTGCGGTTACAGAATAATACGGCGCAAGTAACGTCCTAACGCACAAGTCCCACGGGATTCTCTACTTGGTAAAGATTACTTGATTAGGAGAAAAAACTCAAACAAACAATGGGACATGTATTCCTTCTTAAAAAAAAGGAAAGGCTTCGGTCTGAGGTGACGTCAACCACATGAAAGTTAAAATGCGGCCTTTGGGACATGAAAGTCGGCGGTGGTACCCACACACTAAAAGAAGAAAAAAAGTATTTAGATAAAAGAACAAATCCATCACAACCTCGTTTCTGGAAATACAAGTCCTGTCGCAATATGTAAATTCCACATTACTCGGCAATACCAGGACAGTTTAGGAAAAACATTATGAGCATTAATATTCTTTATTTATATCGAGAAATGTTTTCAACAAACGTCATTACTCGTGTGAATGTAGGGTTGCCACCCATCCAGGATTTTCTGGGACCACCCTGGCATTTTGTATCCTGGAAAGAATTTCATTCAATGGCAGACGGCGTCCCGATCAGTTTCTCTATCAAACAGACCTATTAGCAATTCTGTCACTACAGTATGTGTAATTTTTTTTGTCAATGACTGGGCGTCCAGGATTTTACGGGACTGACATGGCAACCTTATGTGAATGTGCCGTGAATCCGTTCACTCATCGAGGTGGCTTGTCCAACACAAGGTTATGGTGAGTTTGCGGTTTATACCCAGAAGATCAGGGCTGGGAAACTCTCACACACTATGGGCAATTTTGGGGCACTAATCCACACATTTTTGTGTTTCAGGAGGGGAGTCACACATTTATCCCCCATTCCTCCTCCGTGACATAAATCTCCACTTTATTTGGATGTGTGTGATGCACGAAGTGTAAGACAGAGTGCAGGTACACCCCAAATACCGTGCTGTTTGTCACACAAAGCACCTGCAAGAGAGACCGTATTATTCTCAATACACACTAACACTGAATACATCACGAGAAACTTTATCGGTGAGGAAACAATTACTAAGATGAAATGTGACTCCAGAGTAGGTAGACTACTGTGGACCTCCTCTGAGGTTTCTGTTGAACTTTTTGTTGGGTGTCCTACCATGATCCCTGGAGATTCGAGGGGGATTTTGCCCAGGTGCCTGACAAATAGACCCGGTCTTTCAGAGAATTCCTTCACTAAAACGTGCCACATGCACCTGGCAGCCAATCGGGCACGCAGAACTATCAACAAAAAATTCCAGGCTGGTCACTGTTACCTTTTCAGGCCGGTACAATGGCTGAGCGACACCGGAATTCACATAGCCGGTTAAATGGCGCAGCACCTGCTTAACCAGTGAGCCTGAAGCAGAATGAAGAATGAAGCTGGCACAGTGAATGGCTGCTCTTTAGACACGATACAGAGAGACGTACGGTGCAGTCTTTCTGATGCATCCTTGTGGTCTAGGTTTGCTGGCGACTGCGGCCCAACGAGAAGAATCAGAGTCTAATGTGGGTTCTTTTCAAGGATCATTCAAATTTCTTTAGCTGATGATTTTTCTCTGAAGCATTTTATATTTATTTTGGGTTGGCCACTCCCTGGAGAAATTGGGGCTTGAAGACCTTGCTCAGGGAGCCAGTGCTGAAAAGCCTGGGATTTAAACCAGCAACCTTCTGGTCACAGATACAGCATCGTAATCACCTAAGCCTCACATTACCCCTGAAAAGACTGACTCAGAAGTAGTTGCCGATCAGAAGTAACCTCATTTTTGACATATAGTGGAAGGCAGCCAAGCTTCCAGAGATCTGGGCTGCCAGAGGCACCACCTCTCAAAGCGGCATCTCTCCTAGAAATGTCCCGACAGGGAGTGAGAGAGAGCAGAACGGCCGTCCCCTAACGGAAACCTTTCTGGGATTCAGCTGTCGCGGCATTCCCCAGCCTCTGCCGCGCATATTAGACATGATTCTAATTCATACTGACCTCCGTCTTGTCAAAGCGTCTCTCAGCTGTCAGGCCCAAGCAGGACAGACGTAGGGTGGTGGCCAGGCGTACACCAGGGAGGGGTAGAGGCAAATTTAGAAATGGCACAGGCGAAGTTTCTGGGGGACAGGAGGGACACCAAGCTGAATGTGACTATGACCCAAAAAAAGTATGTCACTCAGACATGGCCTGAAAGCTTGAAGGAAACGTTGGTTTAAATTTTGATAGTGGAAGAACTTTGCTGGGGCTCTTTAAGTCCACATCAGCCTCATCCAGCAGGGGGCCACATTCTCTGTCTGATTCTCTTTAGGTGTCTTTTGGTTTGCCTGTCAGGTAAGTGGCATGGATTTTCATGAGGTTCCCCTGAGGATCTCACGGAGCGGAAAACCTTTTTTGGGTAGTTTGAATTAGGTAGCTGATAAGGGCCATCATCAAATATTCAACAACTGTGTTTTGTGTAAGTACAGACAGACAGACAGGCAGCCAACCAGACACACAGACAGACAGGCAGCCAACCAGACACACAGATATACCGACTGACAGACAGACAAACAGACAGACAGGCAGCCAACCAGACACACAGATATACCGACAGACAGACAGGCAGCCAACCAGACACACAGATATACCGACAGACAAACAGACAGATAGATAGATAGATAGATAGATAGATAGATAGATAGATAGATAGATAGATAGATAGACTATTAACAGGGCAAAAATGTCTTGCAAAGAATTTTCAGAAGAGAAGTTGTATTATACAAATACCAAAGGCTTATTGTTTGTAGGCTAATGGTAATCCAACAACAAACTCAGATGTTTTTGAACAGGAAGTAAAATAAACACGTTCACATGATCTAGAACCCTGCGGCTGCAGGGGAAACTTACTAGGTCATCGGCAAGCTGAGAGGGACAGCCAGCAAAAGAAGCGTCACCATCAGACACACGGACAAAGACAAAGAGCACCAGCTTCCCACTGGATAGCGGGAGCTCAGCAAGCTGGGCGTTCAATGCTGAGGGAAGCCATGGAAATCAGGGATGGGACCGGTAGTAATAATCTCAGCAGAGCTATTTTTAGTGAAGACATGAGACTTTCTGTTCGGCCTTGAGGTCCACCGACAGCAGGAAGTCAGTGCAGCTTAATGATGAGGTCATTCTCAGGATGAGACAGGTTCACCTATGAAATATGGTGTCTTCTCTCAGATGCTGGTGTTGCAGGTGCTCCTGTCTTCTTATTTTAAGGCAGAAGCTTAATTAGGTACCATGGGGGGTCAGTTACTATAAAGTAGTGATGCTTTATTGATCCTTGTGGAGAAATTGACTTTTCACCTATCCCATCATGCTCTCCATAAGTTTGGGGGTCATAGCATGAGGTCAGCTGGTAGATGTGGCCCATGGGGTGGGGGGGGGGGGGTTGTTGGCCTTGCCTGGGGCTCGATGGTGATATCAGTCTGCTGGTGTTGGGATTTGAACTGCCAACCTTCTGGTCATGGGTATGAAGTCTTAACCTGCTGAGCCACACACATCTTCGAACGAACACCCTGTTCTGCAGTCATCGTCCCCCCCCCGTCACACCTGCACCCAGCCAAGTTACACCCACCACGCTACACTGAGCCATTGTCACCTTGCTTTTCGGGTCCTGTGTCCGACTTTGGATTTGTCACCGGATTTGTCAGCTTCGGCTCTTTGTCTCGCTTTTGCTGTTTTTCTCCCTGCCGCTCTCGTCGGCCCGGTGTAATGCTGATTACGTTCTGACTACTGATTCGGATTCGTAAACAGACCACGTGCATCCGCAGCCGGATCCTCTCATCATCGCGTTATCCGTATTCATAAAAAAAAGGATTTCTGTGCATTTGCTAATTTTTCTATTACTATTAATATCATCAATCTGGCTTCAGTCTGCCTTGTGAATTGGCGCGGCAGTCGTTACACACAAACGGTGTCTTTCTGCAGAGCACTGGCCACTCAGACTCCCTAAATACATCTTAGTTGATAAAAAAGCACTGAAGTGAATTAAGGCTGTTGAGCGGGAAGTTGCCATGGCGACGGCTACAGAGGGATGTAAACAGATGATTCAGGATGGTGACAAATCTTGGCAAGGCAACGGCGCTCTGAGAGGTGTTGGGGTGGGGGTGGGGGGGCTGACAGGAGGGGAGCCAGCTGCCCGTGCCAAACGAGGACATGGTGGGGGGGGGGATCCAGTGGTGTCCATGCCGAGCCCGGCTGGTGGTCTGTCAGCACAAATCTGTCACGTTTGAAGAGCGCTGATTCACATCCCGGAACGGGGAGGGGGGGGCGGTGGCTCACGTTCCGGGTGTTTCCGTGCTAAATTAAGGGTAACATAATCAGGGACCTCTTTACACACTTCATCTATGACCAAATCCTTCTGATAAATGAAGGC